ATAAATATAAAATGTTATCCCAAATTAATTGATTCTTCTAATGTCCGTAGCACTCTCTTTGTTCTGCGATCTTCTTGACTAGTTTTTTATGAATTACCCCCACCGACGGCAGAACGAGTAGCCATAAAACGATAGGTCCAGGTCACGAAACGGCTGTAAAACAGTTTTCGCGACACAGCTGCCCGCGCCGCGCGCAGACACGCCATGTTCTCCGGTGACGTCACTGAAGCCCAAGGCCAAGGTCACGTAACCTCAGCCCCTCTCGCTGGTCGGGAGGCCCAGGAGGTCCTGCAGGAGAGTGCGCCCCAGGGTGAGGCCAGCCTCGGCCACGGAGCGGATGGCCTGCAGCCTGGCCCCGATGGAGGCGGTGATGAGGTCCCTGCTGGCGTCCGCCGCGTCGAGCCCCGCCGCACCCAGCGTCCTGGACAGGGCCAGGCCGATGCGCACCACGGCGTCCAGGGCGCGGAGCTTGGCCTGCGCCGCGTCCAGGGCGCCGCCCGCGAGCGCCGCGCCGGCGCGCAGCCCCGCCGTGCTCACGCTGCGCATGGCGCGCAGCCGCGAGGCCAGGAGCCGGGCCGCCAGCAGAGAGCGCGCGTCCGCCACCTTGTTCCTGGCCGCGATGAGGGACTGGCCCGTGCGGATGGCGGCCACGGCCAGCCCCCGCACCACGTACAGCTGCGTGTCCAGGACCTTGATGGCGGCGCCCACCGCCAGGCTCCTGGCCGTTGACAGGCCGTTGCTGGAGCTGGCGCCCTGGCCCATCTGCAGAGGGCCGCCCTCATTCTGGTCCGAGAGCGCCGCTGCCATCTGCACAAGAAGGCCCAAGCCCATGCCGAGGGCGACTTAGTGAGCACCGTCGCCGTGCAGTAAATGTCTGACTTACATTTTTAACCCAACCATCCCCCAAGCCGTTTTACCTCGCGGAGCAAGAACAAGTGAGCAAGTGAACCGACTGCGCTTACCTCCGAGTAGTCTTCAGGGTTGAAGTCCACGCCCTCCTCGTCGTCCGCCTGCGCAGAGCCGCCGAAGGAGAAGGGCGACGAGTACGCCCCGATGTCATCGGGGTTGGACTCGGACACCAGGGCGTCTGCGCCGGCGGCAGCGGGCGCCGCCACCGTCAGGTGCCACTGCAGCAGCTAGGGTGCACGCAGTGACGCAGTGAGTGAATGTATACTGTACAGAGGGCGAAGCTGTGCTTGGCACTGCTCGGACGCGGACGCGGGGGCGATACTCACCACGGCGGCCGCCAGCAGCAGGGCCCCAGGTCGCTGTGGAGGCATCGTGTCGCGGTGTGTCCGGACACGCTCCCGCGCCCTTCTTATAGGCGCCCGGGTTGAGGGGAAGGGCTTCCCCGGGCCGCATCTCCAAATGAGCGCCCTACATGCACCGCGGAGCCTTGGCGTGGCGCGCCGTGCGTCCTTGGCCCGGCACGAGGCGCGACACTGGGCCAGAGCGCCGCTCAGATGTGACAAGCATCTATGGGTTCCAGAGAGATCCGATGTCCTATGTCCTATCGACCAATGAATCAGAAAATTACCCGTCAAACCAACCCCTGTCAACTCTAATAGGCGTTTCCGGCCGCTTGCTACCTCGTCCTCCCCGACCCCCCCTCCCCTCACCTGGCGCGGCCTCCGGTACTGCCAGTTTTAGCATAAAAATTTGTCGGGTCGGTTGTCGTGATGGGCTAGTTTCAAACTGCTAGATTAGCACTCCAACATATGACGCGTGTGTGGAATAACATATCCCATTTGTTAGCAAAGGTCAGAAATGCAGGGATAATAGATAATCGGATGCCATTTCCGGCCCTTTTTGCATTCAATCGTTGGCATACTTGAAAGCAGCCGATCTGAGCAGAAACTGATTCCTCGGCTCCGAACGAAGAACAACAACACTTCGGCAGCGCAGCGGTACCGAGCGGGCCCCGGGCCCGGTGGCCGTGGGGTCGACTCCGCCCGGAGGCCTGAAAAAATTTTCACTTCAGAATTCGTGCGGGAAATTTCGTTTCGGAGTGCGGGACAAAAGTTGAGAATTTCGCTGTCCAAAAGGTGGCAGTACGGGAAGCCGCGCGGAGATAGTGGACAAAGCTTTAACATTGAGTTGGCAGGGGTTGCGTCAAACTAAGCGAGGCGAGAACCTTTTGATTTCGCCCTAGCTCCCACCTCACCTCCTACCTCCTACCACCTACCCCTTCCCTTCTTCCTTCCCCCACCCGACCCGACCGAATCTGCGAATCTTCTGCTCTGCACTGCTACCAACATTACATTTGTGCGAGGTTGGAAATGAGTGTTTTCTGATAAATCTCTAAAATATAACATATCTCATTTTTTTAAAACGAAATGTTTTGAGGAAAGATCGGAGAGGGAGTGGTGTACAGTGACTGCTGTTCATGGCACGAAGGTGGATAAATATCAATCCATGCTGGTGTTGGCTAATGTGTTAGCTACCTGTTGTGTTGTAAGGGTTAAAAAAATCAAACAACAAACAAGCAAGGAAGAAACATGAAAAATGGCGCTCTGTTCGGTTAATGCAGTTGTTAATTAATTTGATGGCTATTCCTAGTTAAAGCGACCTTTCGACAATACAAACTTTGACAGCATAGTCATTTATAGTTAGTTTTCTAAAGTGCAGTTCACAAAAGTGCCATATCTTACACCTTAAAATAGGTGTCACTATTAAATCAGGTATGTTTTTTTCATTATTATTAACTTATCTCATCTCTGAGATTACAAGTTGTGATTTTATGGGTCAATGGAAAAAATCTTTGAAAGACTGCACTGCAAGGTTACACTTTCTGAAGTTTGATATAAATTGCTGCTGTGTCAGACAATATTCTTCAGTTACAATATCTGTCATTGTTTGAATCACAGGAACAGTTATCATACTCTCATCTTTCTTGTGAAGAATGACATTTAATAATTCACGGGTTACTGTGATATTATGTACTTCTGAAACGGTTTATGTTGCTTGAAAAGTATTCAACCATCACTTATTACTTAGTCATTGAAACTTTTGGACCTGCTGTAAATGGTCATCTAATTTTCTTGTTATGCTTATGGTGTCAGACACAAAATGTCGTGGCCTGCCTTACAATGCGCAGAATGCCCTTATACATGGGACGATGTTCTCTACCTTTACGAAGAAGAACGTGCTCAGTTGTTGGACCGGCTTCCTCTGTGTCCTAAAAATTGGAAGAGGGTACTGGATTGGCTGCTTGCTGCTTACTGTGAGGCAGTTGATGGCAACACCTCCAAGGCTAAGATCCACCTCATGGATGCCTACACTGGCATCGTGGAACCCTTTGGTGACCTATATGTGTGTGGGTGCTGCATATTTTACAGGTCAGTAATCCGTTACTGGAACTTGAAATACTTAGCATTACATTCTATTCTCTTAAAACCAGTGTTTCGTTACATTACAGAGAAGCCATCAAGCATGTGTTGGACGCGACATGGGCCAATGTCCTTGAAGCAGAACATGTGAACGTTGAAAACTGGAAGGACACGCCAGAAGGACAGGCCCTCGGTAAGTTCGTTGAAGGTATCACCCCATTTGCAAAATTAGACTACCGGCAGCGAGCAGCCGTCTACGCCATCCGAGCGCACTGCAGTGAGGACCCCGGTGAGAATTGCATTTCGAAGTTGATTTTCCACACCTCTCTCCGCCACATGACTCACGAGGCTCATTTCCAGAAAATTTGTACTGGATCCAGAGAGCAATACATATCAGCCCACTGGAGGCCCAGTGGTACATCGACCTGGAGTACATCCTCTGGGATGAGGACCCGTCTTGCCCCCACTTGCCTTACGCCGACGATGTGGACCTCTCGCTGGTCCTCAAAGCCACGCAGCTTTACGAAAGCCCCCTCTGTCCTTCGCAAAACGTTAAGGCAAGCGGTACTTAAGTTTTTCACCTTTTTAACGAAGGCTCAACTCACAAATCAGGTCTGTTCGCCCCTCGACTCACGGTACCTTTTTTAAATCCAGGGCTGCGCCAAGGACTGTCTTGATGAAATGGTTGCAAAAATGGATGAGTTGGCGATCACGCATAAGAAGGCCAAGTTCTGCAAAGAATCAATGAAATTTCCGGACACGACCTGGGTGCTGGACGGAGAACTGATGCGGCTGGCGGGGCGGACCATATTCCAAGTTACTTGTCGTGACCCCAAGTTTTCATTCGTGAAGTGCACCAAGGTCAAGTTGCACAAGAAAAAGTGCACCTGCATGCCGGAGTGGATGGACAGCATGATCAGCTGGATGTTGCTGTAAGTGCCCGTCTCGCGAGGCGAAAAACAAAACTTCC